TGATCTCACAGTTGTGAGATCACGCCCCAATTTGGGCTCCGCACTGTGCATGCAGCTTGCATGGGTTTTCTCTCTCTTCCTCTCTTTTTGCCCCTCCCCTGCTTGTGTACATGCTCTCTCTCTCTCTCTCTCTCTCTCAATATAAATAAATATTTACAAAGAAGAAGAAGAAATGGTATAGGGATGCCTGGGTGGCTCAGTTGGTTAAGCATCCAACTTCAGATCAGGTCATGATCTCGTGGTTCCAGAGTTCAAGCCCCACATTGGGCTCTGTGCTGACAGCTCAGAGCCTGGACCCAGCTTCAGATTTCAGATTCTGTGTCTCCTCTCTCTCTGCCCCTCCTCCACCCATGTTCTGTCTGTCTGTCTCTCTCTCTCTCTCAAAAATACATTTATTTTTTAATAGTTTATTGTCAAGTTGGTTTCCAACTTGTCTCAAAAATAAATTTAAAAAACATTTTAAAAAGATGTGGTATAGATATGCAATGGAATATTATCCATTAAAAAAAAAGAATGAAATCTTACCATGTGCAACATGGATGGGTCTAGAGAGTAAAATGCTAAATCAATCAGAGAAAGATAAATACCATATGAGTTCACTCATATGAGGGATTTAAGAAACAAAACAAAGAAACAAAGAGTCAAACAAAAAAAACAGATTCTTAAATATAGAGAACAAACTGATGGTTACCAGAGGAGAGGTAGGCTAGGGGAAGTGGATGAAATAGGTAATGGGGATTAAGAGTACACTTATCGGGATGAGCATTGAGAAATGTATGGAATCGTTGCATCACTTATATTGTACACCTGTAACTAATATAACACCGTATGTTAATTATACTGGGAATGCATACATACATACATATTTTAAAATAAATAATCAGTGAATGACATTATATGCTAGAAGTGACCTCACTTCTCCATCTCTGCAAGATAAAAACCTAAAAGGACTATAAGAGAATAATAAAAAGTTGTAGGTAACATAGCAACCAAAAAAAAAAAAAAATAGAAAGAAAAGAAAAGAAATGATATGATGAATATGAGAACCACTTTGTAAAGTATTAAAAACATTACTTTTCTGGAAGAACAGCACCTTTCATTTTTCAACATCGTTATCATCGCTTACTAATACTTTTCCTTTGTTGTATCAGGTCCAAACCATCCCAAATGCCCCTGTTGCCTGCCCCTGCAAGGAAACTCTTTTTCTTTTTTACTTTTTTCACCTCCCCATCTTCCACTTCAAGGTTCAATGGCAGGTAATTTGGGTAGAGTTAAGTGGTTTTGTCTGCTCTCATCAGTCAATGAGCAAGTGTTTATTAAGAGTCTCCCGGATAAGCGTCCAGAGTTCTGTGAGTGGCATGGCAATCAAGGGGCCACATTCTTTGGGGTCAGATAATTCTGAATTTAAATTCTCCTTCTGCATTTACCAGCCACGTGCCCTTGAGTAAATAATCTGCTCATCTCTCTGCTCTTCGGCCTCCATCAGAAAAAATAAAATAGATAATACTTCACAGTTCCAGTGTATAACATGAGATGATAAATGTGTAAGAAAGTAACAGAGAGAGTATGCTCGATACACGTAGTTCCTATCCACTTCATAAGGCTGCTACTACTAAATGAGCTAATACTCAAAAGACAGTTGTGATTCCTTGGAATAATTCTGCTATGCGAGTTTGGTTGTTTTTAATGAACTTGGCTGCTATTGTTTCTCTTATTGCTTTTACTGCTCCAAGGGGCTTATGGGAGCCATGTCTACAAGCTTTTGAGCAGCACTTGAACATATCTTTATTATTATTATTTCTGAGTTCCCTTATTTCTTTGTTTCAGCCTGGGAATCATTTCTTTGCTTAGTGCTGCTTTGAAGAAACAGCCAGATGTCTATACAATTTGTCGTTTCTGGACACGTACTCTGTTATTTAGATACTATGCTTTGTTCAGCTAAGATACCATGTCTATTAAAGCTTTAGTAGTCTGGAGAAACTCTAATTGTGCTATTCTTGGCACACCAAATGAGAAACACTGAGAGATTAAAAACTGGAGATGAAGGGGGCCTTAAATGTCACTGTAGGTCTTTAACCTTTCTCTGTACATAAAAAGAAATAATAAATTTTTGAAATCTTTAAAAATTTTATATACATTGTCTATTACCAGTATGACTGCCGTGATATGAGATTATTAAAATATCCATTAAGGGGTGCCTGGGTGGCTCAGTCGGTTAAGCAGCTGACTTCAACTCAGGCCACGATCTCATGGTTCATGAGTTCGAGCCCTGTGTCAGGCTCTGTGCTGACAGCTCAGAGCCTGGAGCCTGCTTCGGATTCTGTGTCTCCCTCTTTCTCTGTCCCTCCCCTGCTCAAGCTCTCTGTCTCTCCCTCTCAAAAGTAAATAAACATTAAAAGAATAACAATAAAATAAAATATTCATTAAAATTGGCATAGCCAAAAGGAAGGAACTTTGGAGCATTTAACCTTCTCCCCAGTTTAATGCTGTTTTTGGTAAAAATCAGATGGTGTGGCTTCTCTTTGGCTTGTATCTTCAGGCCCAAGAGCAACAACTCCCAGCTTTTAAGACCCCACCCCAGCAGGCCCTCAAGCACTTCATGATAGTATGGGAAACCAAAGAGACACCTTGAATGTTAAATTCACCAAATACCTTTGGCTCCCTGAGCAGGATTGACTCAGGGGCTGTGAGGGTACTGTCTCCTAGTATACAGTCTGAGACTGATTACAGAACAAAACGAGATTTCACTTCCTGTGTCCTGGAGACTTTAGAAACTACTAATTTGGCTTCCGCATTTCTCAAAAATTCCAAGAGATTTCAACTGAACACAATAAGTGTTAATTTTTTTGTCCCTCTTTTTGGCAATTCTCTATTTTGCCATCTTGCTTTGAGGAGAGAATATAGTGTTACCATACTCCTATTTCACAGTAATTTCCATTAAAAGTTATTTATCTTCAAAATAGGCTTACATTTTCCACAATCCAATTATACTATTAATGAAAACTACATTTATTATATTCTCTTCCTCTTTAAAAAGCATTGTAAGAACAAATACATCAATTTCCTGAGGATATTTGTTATGCTTCATTTTTGTAAAGTGCCCAGATATTCATGAAGTTCTATCCCACATTATCTTACTGAAGGCTCTTGTCATAACAACCCTGTGAGACAGACATCATTATCTTCATTGTACAGATGAGGATACCAAAATTCAGAGTTTCAGTCATAAAACTAAGCCAACATGTTACTCAACGTCTTTGGCTCCTAATCCAGTGGTCTTTGCACTCCATCATGGACGACTCATTCAAGTTAGCTGAGCTCTCGAATAAAAATTGTAGTTCTCCTCAGCACCTTAGTAAGCTGTGTAATGGGCTGAGGAGGCAGTGTAAACAAATGTTTGAAGAATGAGGTTTCCCAAAGAAAGAAGCCCCCAGGGGGTATAGTTAAGGCATCTCAGACATAAGCTGGACCGGCAGGAGCAGCTTATCCCACAGAGCAAAACCTCCATAGTAACACCTGGAGTTCTCATAAAGGGACGGTCTATAGGTGGAGTATTGGAGCCTTTGAGAATGAAAGATCCTCAGTGGCGGTAGAAAAAATAGTAGCCTCCTATTCAGTCAGGATTTATAACCTACCATTTACCAGATGACACGTGCACTGCAGTAGAGGGCTCGAGAGTTTCCTTGTGACATTCTCCTAAATCTTGGGCTAATTCCACTGCAGCCTTCGTATCCTCAGTCCTTTTCTTTCCTGCCTGCCAACCATGAGCAGAGTGCGGCCATGAGGTAGCTTTACAGCCTCACCTCCCCCCCCCATGCAAGCGTCTCTCCAGTATTAGCCCTAAGGCCAGTGCTTACCCTCTGTTCCTGTAATTGTCTACACGATGGACCTGACCCACTCCTACTCACCAATGGGCAAGGTATTGGGATTCCCCGCCCCCCCAAAATCCACATCCACCAGGATCACCCTCCCCAGGAAGGCATTCACGGGATCTGAGAGTCATGGAGGAAATGCCAGAAAGCCAGTGAAGAAGCTGACAAAAGCACATAGATGAGAGCGAAGAGGTGTGAGAGGCAGTAAAGAGGCTGGCCTGAGGGGCACATTGGCTGGTGCTGGGGAGTAATAATAAGGACAGGAGCTGACTCTCCAACCTGGGACCTCCGAAGGAAGGGCCCACGCTTTCAAGAAGAGGTTGGACTTGATAGGCGAATAACCAAAAACAGGTGAGGGACAGAAGAACTTGGGTGTGGAAGAATCATCAAACTATACGGGCCATAGGAAATGCACAAGGAGAAGATCGCCTAATGTTAAGAAATAAGGGAGGCATCATGTGCCTCAAAAGGCAAAGCAAAAAGAAATTAGGGGAAAAGTTTATGAAACTTGGTAGCTGAAGAGAAAAAAAGTAAAAAAATGACTCAGTTTTGTGTGTCACTCACTCCACTGTGAAAACAAAAACAAAGCATATGTTATAATATATGCATTTTAATTTACGTTGACAGTTGCCTAACAGGTTCTGTCTAGTTAGTCTTCCCCCTTGTTTAAAAAAAAACTTTTTTTATTGTTTATTCACTTTGGAGAGAGGGAGAGACAGAGAGAGACAGAGCATGAGTAAGGGAGGGGTAAAGTGAGGGAGACACAGAATCTGAAGCAGCCTCCAGCTCTGCCCTGTCAGCACAGAGCCTGATGTGGGGGTTGAACGCACAAACCATGAGATCATGACCTGAGCCTAAATCGGATGCTTAACTGATGGAGCCACCCAGGCGCCCCTCTTCCCAGTAGTTTAGTATTTGCTCTTATAACATGGGCCATGAAAAGGAAGACACGTTTTGGTAAATACCTGTTATATCATGAACATATTCAAGGTTGGTATGGGATCTTTTCTTCATGAAGCATCACTTCCTGTACAGCCTGTACTCCCACCCTCCCGAGGCTCTGTGACAATGCACAGAGCCTATTAGAGATGACCGTTGATGAGTGCCCTTCTATCCCTTGTCTCTCAGGCTGCAGAAGTCCTGAAGGTTGATGGAGGGCCATGCTATTCAAACAGCAGGCGTGGCTGAGACAGAAGCTCCTGGTGCTGGGAAGTCTTGCCGTTGGGAGTCTCCTGTATCTAGTCGCCAGAGTTGGGAGCTTGGATAGGTAGGTAATTGAACACATACTTATGCCCATGTGACTTCAAGTGTCTCTTGATTTAAACTTCCCTAAGACATAATCTTAAACCCATCCATTTGTTTTCCTCTCTCAAAATTCCCAAGAAACATGCTTTTCTGCAGTATTGATTTTGATTTATTAAGCCTTAAAAAAAGAGAGAGATAGATCAAAGTTGCTCAAACCAAGGTGTTCGTTAAGATCCATTTGTATTCTGTATGCGTTGACATTTGTTTTCAGAGAAGGGATAAAGCAGCAAAAATGTCATTTACGAGAGCTCAGTGCCGTGTGTGTTCATCTGGTTGCTGACCTCTAGCCATAGCAAAATGGTGACGTTATATTTATTTATCTTCATTTTGAAATTTATGAGTGAACAATTAATGTGCTACTACAAGAGCTAAGATTTTATATGAGCCTGTAAAGTAGCTCATCAAGTTTGGAAGCCATTGCCTTGAAAAGATGGCTGCAGGCTTTGGGAGTTTTAACCATGTTAATTAGGTCTGGTTTCCAGGAGCTGAAACTATCCGATGAGGAGGCTGCTGCTCAAAGTAATTGCCCAGAACACAATGGAAAATCCATGGAAAGGAAATTTACAGAGCTAGCATTTGGCTCTAAATAAGCACACAGTTGAGAGACGATACTGACTTACAGAAGTCCCAGCAATATCAGCTGGCTTCACATTGAGTACCTCTGGACTGTCCCACATTTGGTATGATTGGAAAGGACAGAGACATTAATTTCTGAAATGCAAAGCTTCCTTCTTTGCCCTTTAAAATTAATTCTTGCACTGGAAAGACTGAGGCACGTTGTCTATAAATTCAGTTCCCATTTTCCATGAAAATGCGGCCATACTTTAAACTATCTTCCTTATAGTTATCCTTTTCTAATCTCTAAGTCTTATCAATTAGCTATTTACCAAATAATATTGCAGTGGTTTTACTTTCCTTCAGCCAGTGTCAATTTTGATAATGTGAGCCCCTCATTTGCTTTTCAATTCAAAATTCCTAAGTAAACTTCCCACTCACTGATTTGCTAACTATAGGAAATAGTATTACCAGGCCTATTACTGACTTCAAGTAGTTTTCTAAAGTAGTACTTAGTTATTAGTGAAAAGTTTTGAGGTGGGCACCACTGTCCTATGTCCCTAATGGAATTTTCACATCAAGGTCTTCCCAATACCCTTAGTTAGCTTCCGATCATTTTCTTTTTATTGAGTAATTGATCCAATGATCATTAACATATTAGTCATTTAGTTGATGATTCTATTCATTTTTAACTTGGCCTCCAGTCTCTAATGGGGTAGCTTTTTTTTTAATGTTTTATTTATTTCTGAGAGAGAGCGAGCATGAGCAACGGAGGGTCAGAGAGAGAGGGAGACACAGAATCCAAAGCAGGCTCCAGGCTCTGAGCTGCCAGCACAGAGCCCGACACGGGGCTCGAACCCATGAACTGCGAGATCATGACCTGAGCCAAAGTCAGACATTTAACCGACTGAGTGAGCCACCCAGGCGCCCCTGGGGTAGCTTTTATAAGGAATTGAATTGCTTGGTAGGCTTTCCCAAAACCTCTCATTCGAGAGTTGGAACAGATCATGTCTAAAATTGGCACACACTGACTTAGCCTATTCTTCAGTAACAGAAGACCCTGCTCTTTGGGAGGAGGCTGAGCTCCGTTAGTTCTCCGGCTCTTCCTGGGCCCAAGATTCCAGGTTTTTCCCATGTCTGAGGCCCAGGCAGAGAATCTACTCTTCAGAAAATGGAAATAATATATTTTCTCCTATTGTGAATCAGGAAGTCAAAAAAGCAACTGTTCTGCAGGCTATGAGCTCCCAAGGTAGAAGGTAGAAAGAGGAAGGAAAAGAAGGAAAATGGCCCTTTCTAGAGGTGGGGGAATTCTTTTCCAGTTCTAACAGGCCAGAGCCCATTTCAGCCTCTCAGTCAGAGTTCTGCATGAGAATTAAGTCTTTACAAAAAAGGATTTGATTGACTACTTCTTCAGTTCTCCCAAGGATGGCACTAGCCTCATTCTGGACGCACAGAGAAGTCCATCCTTTACATTTGATGGCTGCCTTAGGGAATTAGGGCTTAAATTTGAATCAGAACCCAAGAAGAGCTAAAAGATGAATTTGTGATATCCCAATCAATGTGACAATTAAAAATATCTTTGACTACATATGTATTGCTACTTTTATATCTTCCATTTAGAACTCTAGCATATTAATCCTGTTAACAAATTTATAAAAACAAAATTCATGTTTCTCTAAAATATTAAACATAGTAAGCCCCATTTTTTTAAAGTATTCCATATTTTCATGTTTTCCACAATGAGTATGAGTTGTTTCTAAAATCATAAAAAAACAAACATCACAAATAATATATGAATGCGATTTTCCATACACATTATGACAGATAGATGTTTAAACAAGTCCTTCCCCTCAGTTCTCCAGAATGCCTTAGCAAAGTTTTTCTCTTTTCCCTTTAATTATAAACATCACAGGAGCTAAGAATGGTATAATAGGGTACATTGGGAAAAGCAAGAGACAGCCTCATTGCCACAGAGAGGGGAACATAGACTCCAAATAATTAGGGTAACTAGAAGCTTCAGTTAGAGGATTGGTTTAACAGCTGTTTTGACTAATTCTACACCCTTTAGGGCTAAAATGCCTTCTCAGATAAACTTAGAGATGTTATAATGAGTTTCAGCTAGATTCCAGACTGTTACCGAAAAGCAAGCTCAGCTTGCCATTCATATTTATTGGCCATGCCAAATCAAGCAGTGAGCCTAGTCTAATACCATTATGATTGTTACCACAGCTTTCTCTCTGAAAAGAGCCTTTAGGGTTGTTCATGATTTAGGTGGTTGTTCATGATTTAGGGCAATGGTAAAGTGGACACCCTCCTTTCTGCCTCCATCCATTGCATTCCTTCCTTCATGAGCCTGAGTGCCTAATTTACATGGGCTTGGCAGCAAGGACTTGAGGCTTCTGGCCCTGCCAAAGGCTTGTTGATTTCTGGTCCCAGGGGTGGTAGGTGACAGACAGTACTTGCTGATGGCATGTTTCTACATTCAGCAAAGGAGAAACAGAATCTTGACCCCTTTAGATAGAAAGACAAAGAGAAGCAGAAGAAATAGAGTGCTTATCTAACTGTCCCTAAGGCCAAGGGCAAAAATTCTCCTAGAATGAAAAGCTCAGCAAGTGCCAAGATTGGATTTTTGCAGGTTGATGATACCAATAGCCACGGGCAGAGCCTGGGACCTCTATTCAGATTCTATCTCAGGGATTTTTAAGAGCCACATGACTTTTGCTGAGAGCTGCCAGAAAATACTACCACATGAAACCCAAAAGACATGGCCTCCTAGCCACCCTTCAGCCTCCCAGCTGAAGGTTATAATCTTCTGCCTCTCATGTTTTCTAAACGACGCTAACTGGTGGGCTGTTAAAAGGCTATTAGTATGGCCAGTGTGGCTTGTCTGTCCTGTACTGTGAACATAAGTACATGCTTTAGTCAATTAAGTGCTTGGTGAATAAAAATTTTAAGGAGCACTAATAAAAATAATCCCATCAATTATGTGTGCTCCATTTAATACAGGGTTGCTTAAAATAAAATTTTCCAAACATATGTTCATTATGGATTGCAGCGGGCTGGGAACCAGTAGTTTTATTTATGCGTTTAAAGTCTTCCTCTGACTAGGAAAGCAGAAAAAGGACAAGTCAGTTGCAATGAACTTCTAAGAGCCTCTTTCTGTTGCTTTCAGACTACAACCCATTTGCCCCATCGAAGGACGATTCGGAGCACGCAGCCAGGCCGAATTCCCTCTCCGCGCCCTGCAGTTTAAGCGGGGCCTGCTGCACGAGTTCCGGAAGGGCAATACTTCCAAGGAGCAGGTTCGCCTTCATGACCTGGTCCAGCAGCTCCCCAAGGCCATTATCATTGGGGTGAGGAAAGGAGGTACCAGGGCCCTGCTTGAGATGCTGAACCTCCATCCAGCAGTGGTCAAGGCCTCTCAAGAAATCCACTTCTTTGACAATGATGAGAATTATGCCAAGGGAATTGAGTGGTATAGGAAAAAGATGCCTTTTTCCTACCCGCAGCAAATCACAATTGAAAAGAGCCCAGCATATTTTATCACGGAGGAGGTTCCGGAAAGGATTTACAAAATGAACTCATCCATCAAGTTGTTGATCATTGTCAGGGAGCCAACCACAAGAGCTATTTCTGATTACACTCAGGTGCTAGAGGGGAAGGAGAGGAAGAACAAAACATACTACAAGTTTGAGAAGCTGGCAATAGACCCGAATACCTGCGAGGTGAACACCAAATACAAGGCGGTAAGAACCAGCATCTACACCAAACATCTGGAAAGGTGGTTGAAATACTTTCCAATTGAGCAATTTCACATTGTCGATGGAGATCGCCTCATCACAGAGCCTCTGCCGGAACTTCAGCTTGTGGAGAAGTTCCTAAATCTTCCCCCGAGGATAAGTCAATACAATTTATATTTCAATGCTACCAGAGGGTTTTACTGCTTGCGATTTAACATTATCTTTAATAAGTGCCTGGCGGGCAGCAAGGGACGCATTCATCCAGAGGTGGACCCCTCTGTCATTACCAAATTGCGCAAATTTTTTCACCCTTTCAATCAAAAGTTTTACCAGATCACTGGGAGGACATTGAACTGGCCCTAAAATAATAAGTCATATAACACTATGTGTTGTGGCTGGAGACTCACAATGTCTCCCCTAGATTAAAAATATGCACTTTTCTTAGACACAACTATCCAAGTCGTTTTTCCATGTATACTTGTATATAACACAGTGTGTGACCAAATATAAGATCAGTTCTTTTTCTATTGAAAATTTACAAAAAAAAAAAAAACCAGTTTGCTGTCTGAGTAGTTGCATCTTTTAAGCTATCTGCGATAAGAAACGGTGGTGGTACTGGGGGAAAGTGACTTCAGCTGTTCTCAAAGAGTTAGTCTTCCTTTGAGTCAGAATTTGTTGCCCGCCATTTTCATAGATTTAAGCCAAAAGATTATGTGTGAAAATGTACCAATGGCCGTGAAGCTTCAGGAAGTAGAGGATTCAGTTATGCATTCTTCTCTAAGGGAAAGCTGGCTCTTTAATTCAGATACTGAATTGGTGCCACGAAAACAGAAAATACTATTTTCTTATTATTTGAAAGAATGTCTTATCTCATAAAATTGACACCTTTCCAAAGTTCCTGTGGTGATTTTGCACTATTGTTTTCTCACAGAGACCATGGTGTCACATGTAGCATGTCAATCAGCCATTGGAAAGTTAAGTCCTTTTACTTCTGTGTCCCACATCAACAAAGAGAAATGTCATGTACATAATGTATATTGTTGTAAATACTGGTTTCACACTAAGTAATTCTATTTTGTAAACTGAATATGGCTATTTAATTTATTGTGGAAATTAAATTTATTGTGGTATTTAAAAATGGAATGGATTAAAATTGCTCTATGTGCAACCTTTATTCCCCCCCTCATTTTGTTTTACATGCCCCCTGCTGGCTTCCCGAATCGAAGATGTTTGTGTGTATGTGAGAGCGCTTGGAAAGATGCGCTTCTCCGTTACATTTCTGCACCCTTGTGAAAATGTTTTTATGGAGTGAGGTTGAGTATATTAAACAACTCAACCATCTGGAAATCTAGTAATACAGCCACCTCAAAGAATACTAGCTGCTACTCCCACTGCAACTTTGTAACAATTAATCTACCTGCAATTTTACTGCTGTGCCGGGAGAGAGACAGGAAATACTTTAACAGAATCAAGGCCTAGAAGAATCACAGTTTTATTTGAACTTCTAATCAGAGTCAGACCAGTAGAGAAATTAAATAAAATAAGATCAGAAAACATGTGTGGCCTCTGTACTGAAAGCTGCTGATGCTTCAAAAATGAATAAACTCCCAAAAAAATAAATAAGTAAAATAAAAACTCTCAGAACTCCCTCTTTGAGATGAAAATGTATCAGTCTGCTCAGAAATGATCAAATGCATCGTGTTGCTCTTACTAACATAAACATATGGCTCGTATCTCCAGCCAGAGAAATTAATGCTAAATTGGGTGCTTGCTAACATCAGATACCCTGTTTAAATACAATGCAGAAAACAGTGGGAAGAGGTATCAACCACAAGAACAAAAAGAGGGATTTTTCATAATCAGAGCTGCTTATCCAGTAGAAAATGTTTAGGGGCGTTTTACTCGACATCATATTGAGAGTGCTAGAGAAATCAGCAAATTACCGTGGGTTCCTTTTTGATTGTAATGTGTTGATTTTCTCCATGAGTTGTTTACTCTGTCCAGTGATTTGATGGTGAACTTTCCTAAATAAATAGCCCTTTCCCCTTTGGTGTTGGTATATATTGCTTCTCAAGCTACAGCTTTAGTAATCATCTCTCCTGTTTCAATTAGCAATGATGCTGGTCTCTCAGCGTGGAACAGCATGCCACCAGCACACGCTGACAGGCCGGCTTCTCACTCACTGTGCAGCGACTCTGGAGACTGTCTGGGTCTCAGTGCCAATCTCTTCTCCCTTAAGCCATGAATGAAATCAATTAGATTCCTTGTGCCTCAGCTCTCAACTGGCCATCAGAGTAAACTGCGAATGCTACCTTCAAGGTCATAATCACATTATCATTAATTCTATTGTAACTCTTCCTAGAATACTGTGCAGCTAATACCATAATATACCAGTAACCATCAAATTATACCCCATTGGAACGGTGATGTTTCAAAATCTTAGCTTAGGTAATTCCACCAATAAAATTGAAAAATGGCAATCTTGGGGTACCTGAGTGGCTCGGTTGGTTAAGCATCTGACTCTTGGTTTTGGCTCAGGTCACGATTTCACAGTTTGTGGATTTGAGCATAAATAAATAAACTTAAAAAAAAAGTTAAGAGACAAACTGATTTTTTTTCCTAAACAGAGGACATTTTTTAAAATAATGAAGAGAAATGTATCAGTGATAAATTTTTTTTTATTAAAATTTTTTTAATGTGTATTTATTTGTGAGGGAGAGAAAGACAGTGTGCGAGCAGGTAGGGTCAGAGAGAGAGGGAGCCATAGAATCTGAAGCAGGCTCCAGGCTCTGAGCTGTCAGCACAGAACCCGATGGGGGGCTCGAACTCCAGAGCAGTGAGATCATGACCTGAGCTGAAGTCGGCCGCTTAACTGAGCCACCCAGGAGTTTCCCAAGTTTTTCTTCATTTTTGCTAATGCTACCAATATGATACATCAGAGTTTATCCTAAGATTCTCTTTGACTTATACTGACTTTTCTAATTTGTTATTTTTGGCTCCATAAGCCAGTATTTCTTCATCATGCTCAGCACAAAAAAAAAAGAAAAAAGCTCTGTGATTTCCAATTGTTCTGCTTCTAAGTAACTTTGAGAATTGTTTTAGACCTTGGAGCCTCTCCCCACAGAGACCTAAAGCAGAAGGCCTGGCCTGGGAAGATGTTTTGGAGGTAGGTTTCATTTCCCTGAAAAGAAAAACCAGCCACAGCCACTGCTGACCGAGCACCGTAGAGAGAAGTAAAACTCCCATAACTTCACAGCATCCTTCCACTGGAGGTTTTTAACCTTCTTGTTTAAAAAGTGTTTCCTGTTGTCATCAAACAGGCAGCAAACCTCTAGAGAAATCCGCAGCTCATTATGTTAGCTCCACCAGGGTTCTCTTTAATAAGTTGCTCCTTTTACACCACGAAATCTTTGCATTCCTCCCGGAGGCTGGCGGCACCACACAGCTTTGTGAAACAGCTCTAGCTGCAAAGAGAAACAAAAAAAACCTTAAGCAATGGTGAAGTTTGTGCTGGACCCAAAGGTGAAATAACACCGCTTTGGAAGCTAAGGAATTCCAATTACGATTATACGAACAGGAACTAGAGTCCTGAGCGAGCAGAGAGAAAAAGAGAACTACCACCCGCTAGACACTCTTTTTCGGTTCAAGCCCACCACCTCCTCACCTGAAGTCACCTCACAGCAGCACTTTTCCTACCAATGGCACTGTCGTGTAGGAAACCTCTGGGACATGAGGGCCCGGACTCGTGGAAGATAAAGCAAAGGCTTGTAAACCAGCATAATCACATCTGATCTGAGACCTGGCACCTTTTATGTTGAAGGACCAGCAAGAACAGTCGCTAATTGCCACCAAGGCCAACAGGGCCTCGAGAGAGCACAGTTCGTGGTGCCATACCTGGTACAAGGGCCCTACTGGGCCCCAAGGCCCTTTGAGGAGCATTACCTGGGACCCTGGAGGCATGTTGCTGCGAAGCAAAGGTGGGAACCAAGGATTAGGGAAATCCAAATTCCAGCCCTGCCAATAAGCTTGTGCTTTCTCCAATTAGCAGTGAGCTAGGTTGGATTGCCTTCATGAGGCTAATTTGAGAAATTTCCAGGGATGGAGGATTTCAAATGATCGTAAATAGTGTCTTCCTGCTGAAGACTTTTGTATTTTTGGCACATTCAGCAGCCATTTTCTACTCAGGAGAATAGTCTACAGTATAAGCAAACAAGAAAAGTTCACCAAAAACATTTCCCCTAAAAATGACTAAATATAGCAAAAGCTTAGCAATTCGGGCTAACAGGGTGAAAGTATACAATATTTTCAAGCAAATGCATTGCAATGATTCCCAAATGGATAAGGTGCAAAACTATACTAACATAGTGAAAAATATCTAATTGCATCTGCTTTACTAAATAAAAGCCTCTTAATTGGCGTTTTTTTCCAAATCGGTGTTAATCAAGTATTTCAAAACAGTCTGTTCTCTTAAGTAGGTTTCACAGGCCTCCGAGCATCTGTTTATCAATTTTCATAGCAAACCCTCCCTTTATAGCTAGACTAAGGATGAAGTTTAGGACAAAATAGGATTATCTGGTAAGTTTCTAATAAAGGGTGCCTTGCTATACATCCTATGAAAACAGTTTTGTTTTGTTTTTATATTTTGCACTTACAAAGATTTCTTTCCAATTACACCTTATGGTAACTTTTAGGAATAAGAGTGCTACTTCTGAATGATTCTAAATGGACTGGGGAATTGAAGAGGCAGAACTGAACTGATAGCAACATGCATTCCCATAGAAAGCACTTGACTGATATTCCAAGAACAAGTGTCTATTATTTAAAGGCAGCTGAAAGAGAAGAAAGACCCTTTCAGTGATATCATGTAGATAGCGGCATGCTTGGTACCTTCTAGGCCTACTTCTGTCACTTCTCAGTCTGTGAACCACATCTGTCTATGAAATCTTGGGAGATGATGGTGAAAGAGCTGTTTCTAAACACATACATCATCCCCCTTTGAAAGGAGTCGACCACGGTGCCTGGGTGGCTCAGTCAGTTAAGGGGCCGGCTCTTGGTTTGGGCTCGGGTCACGAACTCACAGTTCGTGAGTTTGCGCCCTGTGTTGGGCTCCATTCTGACAATGCAGAGCCTTCTTGGGATTTTCTCTCTCTCCCTCTCCCTCTCTCTCTCTCTCTCTCTCTCCCCCCCTCCCCTGTGCTTGCTCTCTATCTCAAAATAAATAAACTTAAAAAAATAATGCAGTCCACCACAAGGATGAGTGGTGCCCAGTAGACTGCTAACTCTACAAGGAGGCAGCTCACCTCCAACATTTCTGAATGCACAGATTTCTGCCTTCCCTGTCCTTTTCAGACAGATGCAACATTGCTGGCTTTGAAGATGGAGGGAGGGAACCACAAGCCAAGAAATGTGACAGTCTCTAGAAGCTGTAAAAGGCAAAGAAATGGGTTTCCCCTAGAACTGCCAGAAGGTGCTAACACCTTAATTGTAGCCTAATGAAACTTGCCTTGTATTTCTAAACCCAGAAATGTGAAAGTAGGTCTGTGTTTTTAAGCCATTAACTTTGCAGTAATTTGGAACAGCAGCCACAGAAAACAACCATAAGAAATAAGGAGGGGGAGCCTGGGTGGCTCAGTTGGTTAAGTATCTGGCTCTTGATCTTGGCTCAGGTTGTGATCTCACAGTTCATGAGATCAAGCCCCACATTGGGCACTGAGCTGACAGCGCAAAGCCTGCTTGGGATTCTTTCTCTCCTTCTCTGTCTCTCTCTGTCTCTCTCTCTCTCTACCCCTCTTGTGCTCATGCTGACTCTCTCTCTCTCTCTCTGTCCCAAAATAAGTAAATAAACTTAAAAATAAAAGAAGAAAGGAGAAATGGAGTGCTCACCAAGTGCTGGCATTTTTAATCAGGTTATGCCCTTTCATCCTCACAGGGTGATGGGGCAGCAACCATCAGTCACCAAGGGCACTTCCCAACAAAGCAAGCAGAAGTCCTGAAGGACATGTGTCCCCTTGCAAGTTCCCAAAGGCAAATGCGGGCAGAATGACCCTCACGGAGACAATTTCCTGGTGATTAAAACCAGAGCAAGTTTCATTTCTTCAGGGACACCGCCACTGAAGCTCCGAAGGTTAAAAAAAAAAATTTAATGGTAACTTGTGGATAAGTTTATGACAATATATGAATTATGTGACATTTTTTAATATCTTTAACATTAAGGTTTTTACACAGAAAAAAGAAAATATTTCTGGGCTTCTTACAAGTTCATAGACTCTAGACTTGATCCAGAATATCTGAAGTCTCCAAAGATCAGAGCAGGATCTGGCTCTTTTTCAAATTGGTCCCAGGATCTCCTCCAAATGGCCTCAAAAATTGTCCTGCGAGGAAAACAAAGACCTGAGATTCTTTCTCCTGGGATTAGTAAATTCAGAGGCATTTATTGATCACCTAATATGTAAAAGATCCAGTAAACAATTACTAAAGGTCACTAGAAAAAGCCAGTATTAGAGGTGTGACCAGAATACAGCCCTCCAGAATTCCAGCCCAGGGCTGCTTGTCAAGAAATCTCTAAATGGCTCTATTTATTATTTATGTCTGCCTACCTCCTAAAAGGATTTGCAGAGGCAATTTTTTAATTAAACACTTTTTTCTAATCTCTTTCTAATCAGGTTTTATTGGCTGCATTTCAACCCTTTGTACTTAATCAACCTTGAATAGTAACGTGTATTGAGTCTGTATAAAAATAGGAATTAGCATTAAAATTAAAAGGTACATACATTTAGTACACATGTAATATGTATGGACATATTTGCATTTGTAAGGCTGCTGAAAGAAGCTAATGATAATGGTTCATTATGGGACTAATCAAAACTATTCTTTTGTTAACAATTACCTGTCAAATTTGCATAGCTGCCTTTTAAAAATTACATTCCAAAGCTGGCACAGTCCAGCCAAACAAAGTGAATATATAAAGAAGAGAAACACTCAATAAGTTCATATTTCAAAAGCACATCAACTTATCTGGAAACAAATACTTTGATGAAAGAATACAACTTGACTAATTAAAGTGTCACTACATCTAGTATAAGAGGCTGCAATGGTAAAAAGACATAGGTCTTGCTAATTCGAGGATACTGACAGTGCTCACACAGGAAGTATTATACATGCCACCGTCGTGTGCATGTGGACACATGTGCGTGTGTGAATTCCAGCAATTCTGTAACAGGGTCCCATCCCCATGTGATTATTACATTACTTTGGCTTGACCACCACCACGAGTTTTTCACCTTGGAATTGTATCAAGTTTCTCGGAAAGCACAATTAAATTTAAAGATAAATTTAAGAAAACATGTTTACTTGGCATTATTATCTGTATCTGGTGTGCTTGAGGCACTGATGTAAAAAATTAGTGACATTAGTAGGTGCACAGGCCCAGGCCTCAAGCTCTGAGAACATGGAATTGATAACTCCCTCTGGGATCCTGAAATGTCTTTGGGAACTCTGTGCTAAGATGTAAACATCACTAAAAACAAAAGGCATTTGAGGTGAATGGTCTGAATCCGAAGGACAGAATAGGCTCAATGTCTGGCTTTTCAACCCAGCCCCCACAGGGCAAAGACTGAATAGGGAGTAGACACCACTGGGTGTTATCTGTGTTTATAGACCCAGACCTCCCAGCTGAATTCAGCCACACCCACCCTTGTTTTAAACAGTCTGTTAAATTGGTCAAATTATCGGTTACCAGGGGATCATCTTCAAAGAAGTCACTTTAAACCTTTGAAATTCTCCTTAAACAATGTCTTTGAAATATTTGGAGAAATAACTTAAAAATTCTTTACGTGAAATTAATTATTTTCCAATCTCTTTGGCTGGCTCGTGCCCCATGTGGGTCCCAGCCTCTGCAACATGCTCACAAAGCCTTCCCAGGAGTCCTCAGGAGCCCCTTAGCTCTGCTGACACACACACCAGCCAGAGTCACAGTGCACCTGTTGGGTATGGCTTCTCTCGGTACCACAGCCAATGTGGCCAGGCAGTGTGGCTTCACCAGTGGGCATTGCCACGGCCTCCCACCCCCAAAGACTATGCCAATGTATGAATGTGTGTGAGGGGGTATCCTTCTATGCTTATTGTTACACTCCCTTTTAAAAAATACCAAAACCGGGGCGCCTGGGTGGCTTAGTTGGTTAAGCGTCCGACTTTCGCTTAGGTCATGATCTCGCGGTTCGTGGGTTCGAGCCCCGCGTCGGGCTCTGTGCTGACTGCCAGCTCAGAGCCTGGAGCCTGTTTCAGTCTGTGACTCCCTCTCTCTCTGACCCTCCCCTGCTCACGCTGTCTCTCTCTCTCTCTCCTAGAAATAAATTTTAAAAAATATATTTAAAAAATAAATAAATAAATAAATAAAAAATACCAAAACCTTCCTATGGAGATAACAAAGCAGTTCTCTCCACCCCTATGTTCAGAATTGACCCTCTCCAAAGTTCAGGCAAGAACAGAGGACAAATCTAGGTAATAGATGCCATGTTAAACTTAGAATCTCATGATAGCGTTGAATAAACATTTGTATGCTTTGGATTTGTAAATTAAGTGAATAAATCCTCTTTCATTATGATGATAGAGGCCTCACTGCTGGCTTAACATTTGTTTACCTGGCTTTTTCTTCCTGTAGAGTGGGTACTCTGCCAGGAGGGTCTAAGGTCCTCTATGCAAATAGACCTCTGCTGGTCAACCCACCAAACAACCAGACCTGTCCCCCAGCAGTGGACATAGTACAGCCTTTTGCTGGTCCCCCAAGTGCCCATTATACTTTTATTTTATTTTTCAGTGCTTCTTTTTAAGCTTATTTATTTTGAGAAAGAGAGAGAGAGAGCATAAGTGGGGTAGGGGCAGAGAGAGAGTGAGAGAGAATTCCAAGTAGGCTCCATATTGCAGTGCAGAGCCCAAATACCCATTATCCTTTAAATACATTATAAGATATAAATGCTAAGAACCAAGGGCTATCTTCAACCTCGGCTCTCTGCCTTCAAATAGCAGTGTGACAGATGAAGTCATTTCACTTCTTTATGCCCTCCTAACAAACAAATAGAGAGGCAGTAAATATTAAATTATATTTATGTAAGAGACCTAGCTCCTCAATAAATGTGGATCTCTAAATTTTCTCTATTACACTGTTAAGTTTTACATTTCATTAAGCATGAATTAAAATTGTGAACTACAAAAGCAATAAACTAATTGGCACGTACATCATAGCAAACCATGCTCTGACTATCACTGCTTAGGGTATTATAATAGTAAAGGTGAGCATCTAGTTCACTGATGGTAGAGAAGTAGAGCTTCTTGTTGGTGTTTTCAACTACATTTGACTTCTACCTTTTTGCATGTTCATGCATTTTAGCCTGGGTAAGTGTGGACACAAAATGATGGACTCAAAGAGAAGGAGACCAACCATTCACAAGCCACCAGAATACTGGAGAATAACAGATCTACATATACACAATAACTTCCACATCATAGAGTAGGAGAAACACCCACTTTCACTTGCTTAACATGTTTAGAAAATCATTAATAGATAATAACTAAATAATTACATTAATTGAACTAATTATTTGACTAAGGCTTCTATGTATAAGTAAAACAACCAAACCATAGATGACCCATTTCTACTAATGGTAGAAATATTTGCAAGTTGAAATTGCATCTCAGTTGATTGGTTACATCACACAGACACAGGCAAAACTTGTAGGAATATATTTTGGTGAATGAATGATTTGGGAAAATTCACTAAATGAAGAAGCAGAAGCAGCAAAGAGATGAAAAATCTTGACTTGACTATCCCTCGAAGTCAATAGAATCACACCTGTTAGGGCAGGATGGATAACACAGCCAACATCTACCCACCGGGCTGTGTATTTCAGTACTTCACCAGGAGTTCTGGAGAGACTCAAAAGAAATGTGCCTGTCAGTTCCTATCCCTCGAATTACAGATAGGCAGCCCAGGTGAAGAGCCACTATTCTCTATTCTAAAAGGTACTTGTTGGTTTTATTATCATAATAAATGAAGCATAATTAAGAGAATGGTGTCTTTATGTGACATTTCTTCTGTATCACAAGTATCTTTAGGACAAGCATTATGTCATCTATACCCCCCAACCCATGCAGGCCCAAGATTCCTTCCCTACACCACAGTAAATGATTTTTTTAAAAATTGTGAATGAAAGTATTTAACTATTTAAATAATATCAAGAATCTCAAAAGATCACTGTTTGCTGAAAAGTAGCTTCTGATGCCCAATGCCACCCAGGGACCACCAACTACAGATGCTCTTGGATACACACATTTCATGTAGGGCTCATCACTTGGCATCAGGCTTGGCTCCAAGCCTCACACTGGCAAAGAGGTCAAAGTGGACTAGTGGCATTACCTCCAAATGACATTAGATTGCCAATCCTGAAAAACTCTGGGACATATCACGTATTTTGACATACTTCATTTTCTAATACACTCACACCTCAGAAAATGGTGGTGGGTCCCATGATGTCTAAGAGGCAACAGTCTCATGCATCTGGACCTAAACTCGCTCACGCCAGGATCGGCAGGATGGAGGGGTATCTGTTTAGCAGACTCATGTTGCTTGTCCTTGTCAGTTTGGGAAACAGTGTAGGACCCACAGGTGCACGTGGGACTGCACTTTTGAACAGCAAATGCTAACGGGAGTGGAAGTGCAGGAACGCTATCCATAATCCGACGGAAATGCTCTGCTTTCAATATTCCTTTTGAAAACCGTAACTTCTCTAGTAAGTTGGTCACACTCCAAGAGGAATTAAGCTTGAAAGATAACAGAACTTCAAAAGCCAAGTTGAAAAGACCAGACCTGGGGCTGTGAAGTGCATTCAGAAGAGAGAAGGGTTTTAGCTCAGCTTTCAAAGCATGTTCTCCCTCCTCTTTGAAAGTTTCTGACACTTTCAGAAGTGCTAAAGATTTTCCCACCCATGACATCTTTCATCAGAAAACCATGAAATAACAAAAATCTCTTTCTAGGCAGAGCGGGGGGTGGGGGCGGTGGGGGGTGGGGGGTGGGGAATGTGAAAGTCAGAGCCAGGTAAAGTCAGTTGCCTCTAGTTTTGCTAATTTTGTTGTTGTTGTTGTTCTACTTATTCTTGAGCATAACAGCAATCTCCAAGAAAGCTACGTGGGCCTTGCTTATCTCATTGCAAAGATGCACATTCTATTGCGAATGGAACCAAGGTCCCAAATGTGGTTCCCAACAGTAAGCAGAGGGCATGCAGTTGGGTGCCAGAAATGTGTCTCCGTGACCCATTGGCCAGTGATTGCCAAACAAACAAACAACAACAACAACAAAACCCAAAGGGAAAAAAACAAA